CTTTTTTGTGATGGGTGTCTTTGAAAGTCATGAGGTAGGTAATTCAACTGTTCAACAATCCTCACAGAGAACACCAATAGTTTCTTTCATTAAGTGACTACACAAAGGCCCCAGGATTGATTTTGCAGATGTTCCTCCTCCGACTTCAACATTTGGTTGGCAACCTATTGACTGGAGGGATGTGCCCAACACTGATGAGTGGTTCCTCAAGGAAATATGAAGCTACATCATACTGGTAGACCAACTGGCAGGGAAGCAGGGGCTGGAATATTTGCTTTTGATACAATTAGGTCGTTGGTTGCTTGTCAGTTTAATGTGCGTGAGATAGATAACTCAATAATTCCTGCATGATACAAAGGATTAATAAATATGGACAATAGATCATTGCAGTCAGCTCGGAATGTGAACTTTTTTAATTATAGGACCAAAATTGCCCAAGGATGGTTTTAAAACATCCAGAAAGCAAAGGTGAACACTCGATGAAAATAGCTGTCATCAGTACTCAGCTAAATCCAGGTTTGTGTATTTCATGTGGAAGAAAACAGTGCATAAATCAATACCTAACCTGATGGCACATGCTGCACAGAGAAGATGTCTGTGGTGCATATCATTTCCTGTGTTTGTACTGGTGAGTAAATAGGTTACCTTGGTGTTTTTTTGTGATGGGTGTCTTTGCAAGCCATGAGGTAGGTAATTCAACTGTTGTTATAATGAATAATTTGTTATGAATTCGAGCCAAGATTGCTTTCGTCATGACACAGCTCTCGGCTGGTTTACACGTTATGATCCTTGGGCTGTGCAAACACAGCTGTTTGTGTCACCTAGTCATCAGTTCATATCAGCCCAATACTGTTGGCTGCAGGGATATCAAAGCAGTATTTCAACCCTGGTATGTCAAGAAAGCAAACAGCTGCATTCTGACTTGACAGTCTATGCCAAGTCTGAATGGCAATGCTGCCGTCAGGTACCGATGCAGAATTGGAAGGGGAAAGACAACATAATTGCACGGTTTTTTGCCACTAACTGTGTACCATTCATGAGTCATATCTGTAGCTTAGCTCACTGTTGCAAGCTGCTCATAAATACATTAATGTGGGAGGAGGTAATGTGTTACCTGGGCTGCGCAAAGTACAAGACATGATATGGGGTGGCCCATCTGATCAGAGTGTGGTTAGTTTGTGAGTGCCATTGGCCAATAGAAGCAAATACTGATTTCCTGCTAGCCATTGCATGGTAGCAAATATTCAGGTGTCACGGGCTCCAGGTGTATCTGAAATGTCATCCTAAATAATGTCATAATAAGACAATAACAATAATAAATATAAACCTAAATAAATAAGAACAGCAAGCCATGATCTACATTGCAGAATCGGAAGCAGTAGCCTTGCTTGCACTTTTTGGAGCTATTGTCATGTATGGATGGTCTAACACATGCTACTTTAACATCATCCCTGTCATTGCCATGAAGTAGCTTATAGTTGTATTTACCAGTTCACTTCCTTGTCATTCTTGATTGAATACCTGTGATCGAAGAAACTGTTTCAAGCAGAAATTATGCTGGAATATCTATAAATCATTTTTTCCTGTTTTGTGCCAATTTATATAACTGTGCTCCTTGCAATGTACAATGTTCACATGCCTAAGGCCGCTAGCACAAATTTTCATATAACACTACCTATGGAACAGATTTGGCAGTGCTAACTACGCAACTTTTGTGTTTCAGGTGCTATGGCTTGTGCTGTGGTTATAAAGCCTGAGTCCCGTATAGATCGTTTTTCCAACGGAGTCCATCTTCCTCTTCGCCCTCAAAGCCGTCTCGCGTCCACCGTGGCTCGTGACATTTGCCATCCATACGCAGAGTACCGGCATTTTTTCCTCAGTTCGCCTTAAAAGCGCAGCTTTTGCGCATAATTCGTTCCTTGATTCGAACTCAGCGGGATCGAGCTATCGACCGTTAATCCGACGCAAAGCTGGTTTCGGCCATGTAAACGCACATCGGCCTGAGGTTTAACGTCGCATGATCCGTACCGATCTTAATTCGAATTACCCCCGGCTGTCCATGTAAACCGGGTAAACTACCCTGTTTACATGGGCAGCCCAGGGTAATTCGAATTAAGGCAGGAACGGATCATGCGACGTTAAACATCTCGCAGAGGTGTGTTTACATGCGCGAGACCGACTTTACGTCGAATTGACGGTCGATAGTTCGATCCCGCTTAGTACGAATCAAGGAACGGTTTATGAGCGAAAACTGCGCTTTCGTGGCGAACTGAACAAAAAAAAAATGTCGGTACTCTGCGTATGGATGGCGAATGCCAAGAGCCATGGTGGACGCGAGACGGTTTTGAGGGCGAGGAGGAGGATGGACTCCGTTAGAAAACAGTCCGTGCGGGACTCATAGGCTTTATAGCCACGGCACAACCCATAGCACTTGAAACATAAAAGTTGCGTGGTCGGCACTGCCCATATGGTTAGCCTGTCAGCACTGCCCACATAGTATCATATCTGCCCCATAGTTACTGTTACGTGACAATTTTACTAGTGAATCATGACATGTGAACATTGTGCATTGCAAGAAGCACGATCACAGCAATTTGTACAAAACGGGAAAAACTGATTTACAGATATTCCATCATATAATTATGCTAGAAACAGTTGCTTTGATCACAGGAATGCAATGAAGAATGACAAGGAAATGAACTGGTAAATAGAAATATAAGCCGCTTCATGGCAATGGCAGAGATGATGCTAAAGTAATATGTGTAAGACCATTCATACATGATAAGAACTCCAAGCAATGCAAGCAGGGCTACTGCTTCCCATTCTGCAATGTGGATCATGGCTTGCTGTTCTAACATTATTTAGGATGACATTTCAGATACACCTGGAGCCTGGGACACCTGAATATTTGCTGGCATGCAAGGGCTAGTAGGAAATGAGCATTGTCTTGCATTGGCTAAAGGTACTCTCAAACTTACCACACTCTGATCAGATGGGCCACCTAGCATCATGTCATGTACTTTGCCCAGCCCCAGAAACATATTACCTATTCCCACACTAATGCATTTGTGAGCAGCTTGCAATAATGGGCTAAGCTACAGAAATGACTCCTGAATGTTATACAGTTAGTGGCAAAAATCGTGCGATTATGTTGTCTTTCCCCATCCAGTGCAGCATCAGTACCTGAGGGCAGCATTGCCGTTCAGCCTTGGCATGGACTGACCAGTCAGAATGCAGCTATTTGCTTTCTTGACATACCAGAGTTGAAATACTTTGATATTCTTGCAGTCAACAGCACTGGACTGATATGGACTGATGGCCAGGTGAAACAAACAGCTGTGTTTGTACAGTTTTAAGGTCATAATATGTGAACCAGCCAGAGAGCTGTGTCATGACGACAGCAATCTTACCTAAAATTCATAACAACTTATTCATTGTGACAGCAGTTGAATTACATACCCTATGGCTTGCAAAGACACTGATCACAAAAAAAACACCAAGGTAATATATCTACTCACCAGTACAAAAACAGGTAATGATATGCACCAGAGACATGTCCTCCGAGCAGCACGTGCCTTGGTGTTAGGTGTTACTTCATTTATGCACTGTTGTCTTCCACATGTGGTAACAAACCTAGATTTAGCAGAGTACTGATAACAGCTATTTCCACCCAGTGCTCACATTTGCTTTCTTGATGTCTTGAAACCATCATTGGCCAATTGTGCTCCTATCATTAACAATACTTCACATTCTGAGCTGACTGCAATGATCTATACTTGTTGATCCTTCGCATCATGCAGGATTTTTAAGTTACCTTTCTCACGCAAATTAAACTGACAAGCAACCAACATCCTAATTGGAGGGACGTCTGCAAAAACAACCCTGGCGCCCTGAGGTATTCACTTAATGAAAGAAACTTGCAGGCATTCTCTGCAAGAATTTCGAGAGCAATCCAAAAATTAAAGTAAGAACAAGTCAAAGCTATGCAAAATGATCATGTTACCTCCATATGGTTTTTGGAAGCATGGAGACTGCCCCAGATGTAAATTAATCTAACCTTGAGGCGGAAAGATAACACCAAACACTGCTGACGCCTGCCGTCTGCATAGATCAAGCGCTTAACAAGATTAAATTACGTGAGCATTTCTGTGCTGGTAGCCACCAACAACAAGGCCCCAACAAATAGAGTATTTTTAGCAGCATGGTGTCAGCTTCACCTTCTTTCCCTTTTCCGTTACCATCTTGGACTTGGATCGTCTTGAGCAAAAGCTAAAAACCCGTGGGAAGGCGGCAACACCAAACAATGCTGAAATGGCCTGGAACAGAACTGCATGCGCCAGCCAGTTTTTTTTTTACAGCTGACCATCGATCATTCGAACGAAATCCCTTCCTGAACGGATGACCCTCTCACGGGAAGAGATTTCCTCCGGCGTACGATTCGAATCAGCGGAACAGGGTGTGAGTGTTTACATGGGCCGGATATTTCGGATCGAGGACGGGTCGCGGCTCAATTCGAATCAGAGCTGCCCATGTAAACAGGGTAAATGGCGGCTGGGGCCACAGCTCTCCGGCGCTGGACCAGCCATGTGTTTACACACGCTGGGCTGTTATCATTACTCGATGGAGAGGTGCGATTAATGCTTTGCAGCAGTCCATCCCTGCGGGCGTTTGAAGCTTATATTGGAACGGTGACGACCAACAATATCGCTTCAATGTTTCTATGAGCTCAGAGTCTAACACTGCCAATCAAATGACAGTCCAACGCCAGCAAAAAAGCAGCAAGGGACGGCCTGGAAGAATCTAACAAAACTGCATGCGGCGAAAATGAACGAGATTATACAAGATGGAAAGCAGGAATGGAATCCGATGTCAATATGGATCAATACAGTACAACTTCGCTCAATACCATGGAGTACAACGTAACTGGTCGAGCACCACCCGCCGTGCTGCTGCGCAATGCAACGGAACTGGTAGAGTTGCGTGAGTCGGGCGGTGCTCACCGTAGCAGAAGATGCGAGGTGACGTGACCTTGACGGAGCGGAGGGCGCCCAGGTGGTTGAGCACGATGCAGCGGTATCCATTGAGGCACGCGTAGTGGACGAACGACCAGATGTAGACGGTCTCGCTTGAGTTGCCAATGCCGGGACACACGGCGATGGTGAAGTCGCCTAAAACAGCCGGGAGGACGCGTCACGAAGGACACACGCCGCAGCCGAACGCAAGGCACCCTACACGCCGCGCAGCGGCCAGATTTACTCAACACGCTGCAAGAAAAGCTCATTCTAGCAGGTGTTTAAGACGCACGCACCGGCTCGGTGCAGGCACAGATGTGTCCTTAGTCTGGCTTCGTGAGCGAACGAAAAGACGGTGGCAATGCCCTTAGGTTACAGAACGTGGCCTAGTTCACAGCAGCACGGGCCTGGTTTCAGCTCGAGCTTGTGAGACAACTTAATGCCATCGGCAGCCCACTTCAAGCCGTGCATTGTAGCTTCACACTCCTGGCGGACGTCACGTCATGGTAGACACTGCGGTAAAACAGGTCTGGTCAACTTATTCGACAACTTCGGTAACTTCATAATTTAACCGGCTTTAGCGCCACTCTGCAATAACCCAATGATCCAAAACGTAATGCACATTTTGGCGCTTTCTTAACTAAGCATTCCTGCACACTGTTGACGCACTGAGCACGAGTCAGTGCTTAGCGGTTACCAACGCAGCATATATTGGTTCTAGGTTTTCAGTCACACATAAGGCGATAAAATAAAACTTCGCAGAATGTCGTGCCCAAACACCTTGCAAACTGCTGGCGTTCGGTGTTGCTATAAATGTGCTCCATCGCCTGAGTCTAGTTGTTCGTCTGGCCCTCATCGCCTGAGTGTGGCGTCGGAGTGTCGGCGTCTGACACATTTGGGCGCATGCCTATCTAAACTATTTCAAACGGCACGCTTTCTTTGATAATAATGACAATGTCAAGGAGTTTATTACTTCCTTCGGGCCCATTCAATGGGTTTTATTTACATGCGTTATGTCAAGTACGACTGCTACTGGTTAAGAAACTACAGCGGGGAGCGGGTCCATATTGTCGTCTAGTTCCACGGCAAAGGATGACACGCCAATAGACTGACAAGTTTCATCCTGCCTTAGCACACCATGCATGATCAGACAAAGCACCATTTGCGACTTCCAATCGCATTCATCAAAGACGCCGGCCAGCAGTACGAGCGGCTCGATGACACCGTCCGCAATGGGGACGCGCCGGTGCCAAGTTCACATCGGCCATTATCTAAATTGCGCCAGAGTCGGCCAGCACTGGGCAGAAGTTACCGAGAGCGTGGGGGCTGAATGCCGCCAACGTCCGCGCGCGGCCAGGGGTCGGCGCGGCCGGACAGCGTCCCGCCATCGGTCAGGCGCGCCGCCGGCGCCGCTGAGCGCGCAGTAAATCGGCGCACGCCCAGTCCCCGGCGCCGTCGCCACGTTTTAAGCATCCGATAACGACCGCAGGCGGTCGGCCGGGCTGCCGTCGGCGGCCGGCGCGCCACTATCTGCCCATTGCGGCTGACGAACGGCGACGCGCCACCTGTAGACGTTGCGGGTCGAGTGCGGCCGCGGGTCCAGCCAGCCAGCTCCGGCACACGGCCAGCAGAGGCGCGCACCCGACCTCCCACACGGCCAGCTGAGGCGCGCACCCGACCTCCCACACGGCCAGCTGAGGCGCGCACCCGACCTCCCACACGGCCAGCTGAGGCGCGCACCCGACCTCCCACACGGCCAGCTGAGGCGCGCACCCGACCTCCCACACGGCCAGCAGAGGCGCGCACTCGACCTCCCACCCGACCTCCCACCCGACCCACGCCCGTCTCCCCGGGGCGGCTATCGCGAAGAGGCGGCAGCGGTGTTCGATGCATAATTGCGAGACCGATCAGACAGCGTCAGATGGCACGCGGCGCCACGGGGCCGTGGCTGCGTCACAGTAATCGACCAGGAAAACCCGGCCTCGTCGCGCTGTGACGCGTCGCGCATTTGCCGTGACGAGTGGGGTCACGCGTCGTAAAAAGAACAAAGACGCCAGAACGTCCACTTTAAATGTCGGCATAAGTTGTCTCGCGGCCGTCCCTTCCAAGATTGCCGCTTCCTGGGCTGCAGACCACAACGCAAATCAAGTGAAATATCTTTGAACAGAATTTATCAGGCGGCCCCGCCAACCACAGTTCAATAACGGTGCGGTGCGCAGGCATCTGCAGACGCGTCGACTGAAAGTAAATTGACCATTTTTTTTTTCAGCGCCGCATCAGCTGACCCCACGCCCTGTAGATTTCCAGAACTGTCCGCAAAGCTTGGCTGCCGGCTAGAGTGTACGCTACGCAACAGACGTTCAATTAAACGAAAAACGCCACCAGATGACATAAATTCTAGCTAACCAGGCACGTTTCCCTTCCGCTTTCAGTCTTTTTTTCTCGCAGTAATGGGGTAGCTCTTGTTCCGACCAAACTAGGACCAAACACCGCTACGCCTACGCCACGGGTTTTCGATATCGTTCACCTTATGTCGGTGTCGATGTCGTCCGATGTCAGCTGACCTTTTAACACGTCAGTCGACAAAAACAGCAGGTCTCGATCCATCGGTTAAAGCCGAGGCTTAAGTGATCCAGCGGTGTAGGTCCAGTGACTTGCGTTCGAGATTAGTTTCCAAAACATCGACATCATGTTTCCCAGCCATGGGGTACTTGTGACAAGTATGAACCTGACAGAGTATGTCTGGATATGTGATTGATAAAAGGTGAATTCGCGGGGAGCCGTCAAAACATCCCAAGACCGCAGGGTCAAGTGTTCATGACATCCAAAATGGTAACATCCATCATTCAAACATCCAAACTGCGTCCAATTCCGTGCCCACTGGAGAAATTCATCGCCTCTAAGCTTATAACGTCCAAACTCATAACATCCAATGGTCATAGCATTTAGTGATCAAGTCCAAAGTAAGTTTTGAATCCTAGCGCCAGGCGGCACTTCAGTGACACTTCTATCGACTTCTGCCGTAGATTGCATAATATGAGGAGGAATTTTTCACTCATTTTCCCCATATTTTGTGAATTTTTCGCTCCTGCCTGACATTATCTAATCGCACATGCCAAAGCCCTATTTCCCTTTTTGAGCTTTTCACATGTCATCCAAAACCGAGCTCACTTGAAACCACCAAGCATAAACGAGGCTCCACAGAACCTGGACACCTATGGCTTTGTCCTGCCTCACCTACATCTCAATCCTGTCTATGTATGCACAGAGCAAGGGCGCCAGGTACCTCCAAGCCCAAGAACCCCAGCGACTCCAGCCGCTTGCACGCATTAAGTTTTGTTTGCTTACAAAGTGCATCACAATCGGCAGCTTTGTGCCAAATGGAAGGTATTCACGCATCCCCTACCTTTTTGGTCTCACCACCACACCACGAAAGGAGAGCCTGGTGCAAAAAAACAGCAAGGCCTGGCAGATCATTTTACTTCACCTATTTCTTTTTCCCCGAGGAAACTTGGTCCTTTAATTGCATCACTCCCGAAATGCAGGAATGAAAAAGCCAATACATGTCTTCTAAACTACATTTACAAGATAAATATCGCTTTTTGAGCGCTCATGTGAACAGATTTTAGGTCAAATCAGCTGATAACAAAATTTTACCAGGAACGTATCAAGGTCTTCATATTTTTATATCTTATTTATACCTCTATATCATTAAAGATCAAAGGTCTTTATATGTATTTAACTACTTTTGTTTTCTTTGTAACATACGAGTGAGATACCACTTTACTCTTCCCTTCTTTTCGATTACCTTTAGAGGTACCATCTGCTGCTTAAAATGTTGACCAATTTCCCTGCAAGATGCTCCACCTGCAAAACTTTACGTATTTTATACAGAAATTGGCTTAATTCACCAGCCGCCCAAAACATGTTTGATATGCACACAAAAGTGAACAATTCACAAGGAATGAAGGAGACAATTTAAAGCATGGAACTTATTTTTATTGCATTTTTTGCCCTGTTAAACCTTCCGTTAACGATTAACGTTAACGATTCCGATAACGATTCTTGGTTCATGGAATGTTCAATAATGATAAATTTAAGCCTTTCGAGTGTCTAACTCACCGGGCTACATGACAAGGCTTTCCTAATCCTGCCATACAGAGCTTTGGGACAGACCTGACGCAGCTAGTACAGAAGTGTTTGATGGCGAAATTCTGCCCTCTGGAGATATTTATCATGCACACCTTTTACTTGTTTCGCATGTTAATCTCGTACGTTTGTGGGCATGATTGATATTTATAATTGGGGTGGGAGGGGGGGGGGGGGCTGAGTGGGATGACTCTGTCTGCCAGCAGACCATGCAAAAGGTACTGACTTTTTGTTTTCGGGGAGCAGGAAGAAGCCAGTTAGTCTCCTGTGGACCAAGTAATTGCTTACCTTACCTGCTTTCAACACATTATTGGTAACCAGAGTTAGCTATTTTCTGTTTTAATCCATCGAGTGTTGTCATAGGACAAATTATGATGCCACAAGGCATGCAATGGGCTTATTTTGCTCCACATTCTTGATTATTTGCCCCAAATTTCTTGAAGTGGTCCCTCATGGCTGCTTTAACCAGATGTTTCCTATAGTTGTCATGGTTTGTCGACTGGCAAACGACTGTACTGTATATTTGCGCTTTATTTTTAACACAGGGATACTCTAAGCTGCATAGCAATTATAATATGAGTTGAATATTAGCATGTATCAAATATTCAGACCATCCCACTTAAAATGTGAAGCCAACATCTCAAACTTTGTCATTAAATATGAATAAACAAGCCTAAATAGATCCCTCTGCTGCAGCTGAAAATGCAAGCAGCAATACTGGCATCGTCATCTAAAAGTTATGTTACTTTTCGAGAAGAGAGATTGTTTTGTGGGGTGTACCCATTATCACCCTTGACATAGGCTAACCATAAAAATCAAAATTAGTTGTTCAAAGTCATTTAAAACGTTTTGATTCGTGTGTTGTCAACGTTGTCTGATGTAAACAAGCATATATAAATTAACTGAATACAAATGCAAGTTGAAATCAGCTAAAAAGCAACTTTATCATGATTTTATCACAAGTGCTGCTGTCAACAGATAGGTGAGTTGAGGCGATGTTCAACATA